GCCACAAAAGCTTTGCACTTAGGACATAACATGTGATTAGACACATAATGGGCAATAGCATATCTTGCTTTGCCTTATGGTGAGTAACGATCAGGTGGAACCCCACAGTTCCGTCTAGGTGGTAAAAAATAAGAATTATCAGCAGTATGAATAGAAGCACTTACCTAAGGATAATCCAGGGGAGCTTGATTGGGTACTATTAGAGAAGTTTCATGGGGGGCAATCGGTTCAGTCACATCAGTTAAAATAGCAGGTTCAATGGGTGTAGCAAGTTCAGCTAGTGTAGCAGGTTCGACCGGTGTATCAAGTTCAACAGGTTTGGTCGGTTCTTCCTTTCGTATCAAACTATCCAATACTACCCCCCCTTGTAAATCTAGCCAGTTATGTCTTTCATCCTCAATAAAGGTAACATCCATAGAGACATAAAGACATCTGGCTACATGATGCATCAGTAGCCTTTCTGATGATGAGAGAAACCCAAAAAGACACAGCGGAGATCACAGGGGTCTAGCTTACTCCTCTGATTTTGATAGAGGTGAACATAGACGACACAACCAAACACATTTGGGAAAACAGAGTCAACATAGAAGAGGCAGAGACATGATGGGCCAGTACCTGCATAGGAGTTTGGAAATCCAAAACTCGTGAAGGTAGACGATTCCAGAGATAGACTGCATAGGTAACAGCATCCATCCAGAACCGCTTCGGAACTGATGCACCAAGCAGTAGAGCACGGGCAGCAGCAAGGATCTGCCCATTTTTACGTTCAACAACCTCATTCTGTTGTGGTGTTTGAGGGCAGGTAGTCTCATGGAGTACTCCCTTAGTGTGAAAAAAATGGGATAACGCCGAATTAACAAATTCTCCACCATTATCAGATCGAAAAATCTTGATATGGAGCATAAATTGAGTCTGAATCATCTGATAGAAACGCTGAAAATTTTTGACCACATCACTTTTATTTTTCATCACATATAACCACATCATACGAGTGCAATCATCCACAAATAACACAACCCAATGAACTCCCAAGGCTGTAGAAACTGGGGAAGGTCCCCAAACATAATAATGAACTAAATCTAATGGCATAAGTCGTTTATTACAATTTGGAGGGTAGGATACCCGATGACTCTTAGCTAAAATACAAGTCTGACATTGGAAAGCAGACTCGTTGACACCACTAAATAATGCAGGAAGCAAATGCCGTAAATATCCAAAGGAGACATGACTAAATCGGCAATGTAGCAACCAAATCCGGCAATACTGAGAAGTTTCGGCGCTACCAGCACGAAGAACCCGACTAGTTGCCGCATCATCCACATAATAAAGCCCCCCATTTTTAGTACCACGACCAAAGATCTCCCGAGTCTGGATATCCTGTAGTAAGACAAAAGAAGGATATATAAGTACAACGCAGTTTAACTGCTTATTAACTTGCGGCACAGATAATAAATTACTAAACAAAGATGGAACTAGTAACACTTTGTCCAATGGTAAAGTAGGTGTTGGAACCAGCCCCCATGACAGGAGCAGCAACATTATTAGCAGTCAGAACATAATCACGATGAGGCGGAAGAGTAGTAGAGAATAAGGCAGAATTATACGTTATATGGTCAGTAGCTCCTGAATCAATAATCCAACCTATATCGCGGGTATCATGGGCATGGAAAGCCTTGCCAAATTTACCTGGAGGCTGAGGTGCTGGAGTGCTTTAGACCACGATCAAAGTCGGAGGAGGAGTAGCAGTAAGGGGGCCATGCCCAGTGGTGATGTCAGCCACAGAAGTAGGGGCAACAACCACATGAGTTTTGCTGTCTAGTTGTTCCCTTTTTAAACGCCTTCACTCCTTCTCCCAATCTGGTACCCCATGCAATGCCAACAGGTGTCGATTGTATGTCTCTTTTCACCACAGTGATCACACTTCAGTTTATTTTTTTGGGTATAAGTCAGGCAAGAAGGCGGAATAGCAAAAGAGCCAGACCCTGAAGTCTGAGAAACCAAAGCAATGTTTTTGGAAGCAAGCACAACAGTAGGTTCCCCAATCTTGGTGTCGAATCCAAGCATAGTAATTTGGCGTTGAGCCTCTCGACGAACCATAAAAAATACATTTTCGATACTTGGAACTTTATCACTCCGTAGAATATCAATGCGGACCTTGTCATAAGTATCGTCAAGGCCAGCCAAAAAGTCATACACGCGATCTGCCATGACAGCATCCTGAAAAGTCTTCATATCATCAACACACTTCATCTGAAATGGACGTCTCTTATCCAATTCAAGCCAGATTGCCTTAAGTTTGGCAAAATAGGTAGAGACATGACGACCCTCTTGCTTGAGACGGGTAGCCTGGCACCGCAGTTCATAGAGTTGAGATATGTCAGAGCCATTAGAAAAATTTGATTAACAACATCCCAAATTTCCTTAGCAGTAGGTAGAGTATGAAACATATTCAACAAACTAGGTTCCATAGTTCACAGCATCAGCAATTTTCCGCATTCCAAATTTTGGGTCTTTGGAATCAGGGGCATCAATGTCGCCAGTCAGGTAACGCAATTTGCCTTGTGTAGTACCATAGAGTTCGATCATCGAAGCCCATACCTCATAGTTGGATCCATTCAATTTGAATCCCATAGGTAGGTTGGTGGACGATTCGGTATGAACTGTAACAATAGGAGTAGAAGAAGAAGATTTAGTGATATTTGACACGGTGATAGATGGCATTCGGTGGCGACGACGATAGTAAGAGATATAAGACGACACAAGCTTAGGTGTATAGGCTAGGTGAAGCAGAAATATGTATTTTTAGGATTAGGGTTTTGATTTTGTAGAGATGGATCGGAACCCGCCCTGATACCAACTCAAAAATAATTAGGGTTTAAACTGATATTTTTATTCTTCTCTCAAGGAGGAATATATATACTATATACTGGTGAGTCTCCTATATACACCAATTGGTGAAATATACCAGTTGTGGACCTGGCTACTTCAATTCCTAGAAAGTACTTCAGATAACCTAAATCCTTCATCTCAAATTCCTAAGACAAGAAGAAAAGCCTTAGAGATCACATGCTATAAGCTTAAATAGGTCATGAAAAGCCAAAGACTGTGTCATCGACATAAACAATCAATGCAGTAAGTCTTCTTCCATCACGATTCAAGAATAAAGTGTGGTCTGCATTACTCTGTATATATCCAAAATTCTTCATGAATTTAGTGAATCTGCCAAACCATGCCCTGGGGTATTGCTTTAACTTGTATAATGACTTTCTGAGCTTGCAAACTTGACTCTCCTTGTCAAGAGCTAAGTTACATCCTGGTGGTAAGTCCATATATACTTTTTCTAACAAGCCTCCATGTAACAATGCATTTTTTACATCCAACTGATGTAATGGCCAATCGAGATTTGCTGCTAGAGACAAAAGGACTCTAATAGTTTTAATCTTGGCTATTGGGGCAAAGGTCTCTTGGTAGTCTATCTCATATCTTTGTGTGTACCCCTTCGCCACTAATCTAGCTTTATATCTTTCAATGGATTCATCTGCTTTGAGTTTCACAGTATAAATCCACCTGCATCCCACTGTCTTCTTTCCATGAGGTAATGGCACGAGTTCCCATGTGCCATTCTTCTGGATAGCTTGCACTTCTTCATTCATTGCTTCTTTCCATTTTGGGTCTTCCAGTGCTTCAGTTACACTATTGGGAACATGTGTGTCGGCCAACAGTTTCACAAAGTGTACCCGTGACTCTGATAATCTGTTGATGGATACATAATTGTTGATGAGATATTTTCCTTTGGCATTAAGATCTGCTTCGTAGTGTACTGGAGGTTTGCCACGATTCTTCCGTTTTGGAATCTGATATGTTGGCTCTGTGATTATCATCGATTATTTTATTAATGTTATCAGTTTCAGGACAAGATGTTACCTGAATGACATTCTCAACAGGTGATTGGTGTGGTACTAGAGCTGAAGAAGTCTTCGGAGTGGGCAAAATCTCATCAGTTTCCTCTTTTTGAATTGGACAGCAAGGAGATGACAGATTAAGCTGAGGCTGGTTTTCGGGTTACGACTGGTCAGTTTTTGGCAGAGTCATAAGCAATCGGTCGTTATCAGCCTGTGACCGGTCAATTTCAGGCAAAGTCATTGGCGACCGGTCGTTTTCAGGCAAAGTCATTGGTAACCGGTCACTTTTAGGCTAGGACGATTCTGGAGGAAAAAAATCAATAATTTGATAAGTGTTGGTGTCGTAATGCTCCTCATGTGCTGTTGAAAAATATGTGTCGTTTTCTCGGAACACAGCATCCATAGAAGTATAGACTTTCTGACTAGGAGGATGATAACACATGTATCCTTTCTGATGAGGTGCATAGCCAACGAAAACACAATTTTCAGCTCGGGGATCCAATTTGCTTCGTTGGTGATCATGTAAGTGGACAAATACAACACAGCCAAAAATCCGGGGTTCCAGGTTTGGGGTGGGAGGTGTTTGGATATGGTGGTGAAGTGTTTGAAGTGGTGTTTGAAAATTTTGGATACTAGAGGGAATCCGATTGATAAGGTATGTTGCAGAGACGACGACTTAGCCCCAAAATGATCGTGGCATATTGGCACCAAAGAGAGAGGAACAAATAACTTCCAATAAGTGTATGTTCTTTCTTTCAGCCACCCCATTCTGTTGGGGAGTGTAAGGGCATGAGCTTTGATGTATGTTGTCATGATCTTGTAAGAACTGGTTAAGATCATGGTTAAGAAATTCTCTGCCATTGTCAGAATGAAGCACCTGAATTCTGGCATGAAACTGAGTCTCCACCATTTGATAAAACTGTTGAAACCTGGAAATGACTTCCTCTTTTGTTTTGAGAATGGAAACCTAAGTCATGCATGTGCAATCATCTATAAACGTAACAAACCATCGCGCCTTTGCCGGAGTGGTAATTTTAGCAAGTCCCCAAGTATCGGAATGAACAAGGGAAAACGGAACCAAACTCTGATTTGAACTTAATCGGAACGGGACACGATGACTCTTAGCCAATTCACACGTATCATACTGGAAGTTGGAAACATCAAGACTGAAAAATAATGATGTAAACAACTTCTTAAGATAACCAAACGAGGCATGCCTAAGACGTTTATGCCATAACCAAATTTTGTATCTCTCCCTCTCAGGACGAGTTCCACTGGTTGTGAAAGCTTGACCACCCTTGACCTCACTATCCGGTGCCCAGTCCAAGTAATAAAGTTTGTCTTCTCGAGTACCACAACCAATCATCGTTCTTGTGAGGATGTCCTGAAAAACATAATGTTTCGGCCAAAATGTTACAGTACACCCCAAAATAATAGTAAGTTGTGCAACAGATAACAAGTTATGGTCCAAAGATGGAACAAGTAATACAGAATCCAGATGTAGGGAAGTAGAGAGAGATAGAGAGCCCTCCCTAACCACAAGGGAGGGGGTACTATTAGCATTAGACACCACCGACGGGGTGGATGATTTGAGATTAATAAGTTGGCCATGATCAAATGTCATGTGATCCGTAGCGCATGAGTTGATAATCCATGTGGAGTTTTTGGAGGAGGTATGAAAAGTAGAAGCTTTGGTGGTGGTGACAGAAGTAGAAGTCCGAGTAGCCGGGCAGTAGGATTGACTGCATGCTTCTGTGAGTATGCAACAAGATGGAGAATCGTAGGGGTTCCTGACATCGCAGTGGAAGTAAGATGTGATATGAGAAGGTGAGGAATTTGATGTATGAATTTGATGTAGGAATTGGATTTAAGAGGTATGTGTATAAGATTTGAGGGTATGTGTTCAGGGATTTGGATAACAGGATTTGAGGACTTTAGATTTGAGGGATTTGGATTTGGGGAAAATTATGAGGAATTTGATTTAGGGTTTTGGATTTGAATATGAGAAATTTGAGATAAAGGTTTAGAGACAACCTAGGATCGATTGCTCTGACACCATGCTAAAATATGAATATGGTTTGAATGTATTAGGTTGAATTATATACTTCTCCATAAGGAGGTATATATAGGAGTTTACATGAGTGCTTTACAAGGAAATAGATACAATAATCAATTAGGATAGTATCTCCTAATTATACAAAGATTTTTCAACTAAATAAAATGGGAAAGTAAATCCCTTAATTAATCAAGGAAATAAATCTCCTTGATTAATTAGGAGACTCATGTCAACAGTCTAGAGTAATTTAGGATTTAGATTAGTTTATAATTCACAACAACTTGAGAATTAATTCCGTCTTTGTGGGAACGACCTTGTACTTGCCTTCGCCATATTGCATTAACCTTGTGTGCTTGCAAGTTTATTTCTTGAATTTAACTATCTAATTTTCAGGTAGTATAATTATACATCAAGTTTTTGGCGCCGTTGCCGAGGACTGAGTTTAATGTTTTGTGTTGTGTGATTTTAGCTTTACTTTGGTCGTTATTTCAGTAACTTGTCGTCCTTTAATCTTTGTGTTATCGTTTTACTTTGTTGTATTTCTTTGATTTATTTTCTTTTATTATTTGTTTCTTTATTTTCCGGCATCACCTATTATTAACTATCTCTTTTGGTTCATTGTCTGTAGGTTGCTCTCAACTATTTGTGTGCTCTGTGTGTTAGTTAATGGCCAGCACAAGATCCCAAGGTCAAGAATTAGTGCCCTTTGATCCTGAGATAGAAAAAATGTTCCGAAAGCTTTGTCGCGTCAACCAACCAGCGTTTGCTACTGATCTAGAGTTTGACACAGAGTCAATGGCAGCCAACACTAAGCCCTTGAAAGAGTATTCACAGCCCACAATCTTAGAAAAGCCTTCATGTATCACATTTCCTGAGGAGTGTTTCAAAACTTTTGATAGAGTTGCTGCCAACTCTATGCAATGGGGAGATAACAGATTCACAAGGAAGACTAGTGTGCACATTGTCAAAACAAATCCTGGAGTTGCTTCAGCATCTCAAGTATCCAACTTGGAAAAGAAGCTTGAAATTTTCATGCAATCAATGACCAGATTTGTTTCTCTTTCCTTTGTGTGTGCTATTTGCTCTGATAGTTCTTATCCAACTAGTAGTTGTCCTTTGAGTGATCTTACGTAGGAACAAGCTAATCAAATAAATTCCTTTCAGAAGCCACGACATGATCCCTACTCCAAAACATATAACCCAAGATGGAAGAAGCACCCCAACTTCTCATGGATCAACAACAATCCGTCTGAGTAGGGCATTTATCCTCAGCAGAAACCTACCAATCCGAATAAACCAAGAGAACCAACTTTGACGAAGATTATGACTAAGTTTATTCAACTTAACAACAAATAAACAATAACCTTCAAGCTGGTTATCAAAATTGTCATGTTGCAATTCAGAAATTAGAAGTCTAAGTAAGCTAGATTGCAAACATAGTTAATGAGAGGGAGACAGGAAAGTTACTTAGCCAACCTGAAGTAAATCTAAGAGGCTAGGAGCACATTAAGGCCATAAAAACATTGAGGAGTGGCATGTGGCTAGACCTAAAGATGTTTCTAAGGTTGAAATAGAGGGAAAACAAGCCGCTGAAATTGAGTTAGAGGTGGAGGAAATAACCACACTTCAGCCACAACGAATGTTAGAGAGGTCCCTACAACAGCTATTGAGTTTACCAAAGAACCTATAGTGGCTACCTATTCCAAGAAGCGAATATATGTGCCTCTCGTTCCTTTTCCTCAAAGACTATAGAAGCACAAGAGATATCAACAAACACTGGATATTCTGGAATTGTTTAGAAAGGTTTAAATAAATATTCCATTGTTGGACGCAGTGAAGCAAATCCCAGCTTGTGCGAAGTTCCACAAGGATGTTTGCACAAACAAGCAAAAGTTTGCTACACATGAGAAAGTGATGTTGTCTGAGGAATGCATTGCAGTTCTCCTTAAGAAATTGCCACCAAAACTTAAGGATCCAGGGAGTTTTACAATTTCTTGCATTATTGGAAATTTACATATTGAAAAGGCTTTAATTGACTTGGGTGCAAAGTATTAACTTAATGCCTTATTCTGTATTTCAGCAGCTAGGCATTGGAGATATTAAACCAACTTTTGTGAGCTTGCAACTGGCTGATAGGTCTATCAAATATCCACTTGGAATCGTTGATGATACTAATCAAAGTGGATCAATTTGTTCTTCCAGCAGATTTTATCATCCTTGACATGGAGGAAGATAGAGAAGTTCCCATCATTATGGGACGTCCTTTTATGGCTACTGCTGGCACCATTATTGATGTGAAGAAAGGTTTATTGTCTATGACTGTGCAAGGCCAAACTGTTGAGTTCAAGGTGTTTGAAGCCATTAAGAAACCTGTGGAGATGGATGAGTGTTTTTGCGTAGATGTCGTTGATATTATTGCCCACGCCACTTTCCTAGCTAATGTAAACGAGGATGAACTTCTCACATGCCTAGCTAACCCGGAACTAAGATCAGATTCTAATGAGGCCCAACACCTTGTAGCAGCTTTGGATTCGACACCTATTCAGTTCCCAAGGTGGCGTCACACATATGAGCCACTAGGGACACCTAGCGCTCCTATCTTGCCTTCCGTTGAGATACCTCCAAAGCTGGAGCTCAAGCCATTGCCTGAACACTTGAAATATGCCTTTCTGGGAGAATCCGATACACTTCCTGTGATCATTGCTTCTGATTTGACTGTTACCGAGGAAGAAAAGCTTTTGCGGGTTTTGAGAGAGTACAAAACAGCTTTAGGATGGACCATAGCTGACATTAAAGGCATTAGTCCATCCATGTGCATGCATCGAATTTTACTAGAGGATGGTTCTAAGGCTACCATTGATGCGCAAAGAAGATTGAATCCTAACATGAAGGAGGTAGTCCGAGGTGAAGTTTTAAAACTTCTTGATGTAGGTGTGATCTATCCCATCTCTGACAGCAAGTGGGTTAGTCCAGTTCAAGTCGTCCCCAAGAAGTCTGGAATCACAGTGGTTCAGAATGAAAACAATGAACTCGTGCCTACAAGAATGACCACAGGATGGAGAGTCTGTATAGACTACAGGAAGTTGAATTCATCTACTAGAAAAGATCATTTTCCCTTGCCTTTTATTGATCAAATGTTAGAAAGATTAGCTGGTCACTCACATTACTGTTTTCTTGATGGCTATTCAGGTTATAATCAGATTCCCATTGCCCCTGAGGATCAAGAGAAGACGACATTTACCTGCCCCTTTGGTGGTGAGAGATGACTTAGAGGTGATTAAAAATAGCATTGAGAAAATTAGGTACAGTATTGCATTTTGGCTAGGTACTCAAAAAAGAGAGGAGAAATTTCTTGAAGCAGTAAGACAGTTGAAAGTTTCAACCTCTAAAATGTTTGAACTTGATTGTAAGACTAGATGGAACTCTACATATTCCATGCTTAAGATTACAATGATATACAGTTCTTATCCATATGCTGTTCATATTAGTTTCAAACCATCAAACGCCCCTGAGCCTGTTTGTTGCCAGTTTTGAACCATCCAATACAACCAACCCTATATACCGCCAGCGATGTCTGCGAGTAAGATTGAAGCCAAGAGTCCGGCGGCAATACTAGCCATTGGTACGACAAACCCACCCAACTCTTACCACCAACAAGATTATCCCGATTTCCTATTTCGAGTCACCAATAACGACCATATGACAGAATTGAAAGACAAGTTCAAGCGCATATGTAAGTGGTACACTTTGTACAACACGTATATGCATGCATAAAATTAATGTATTAATTCATACTAATGAATAAAATTATATAATGCACTAAGTGATTTATGATTTATTAATCGGCGGAGCATCCAGATTTGGGACCTCTTCCAAATATCATGCAATAAGTTAACCCATCTGAAAATGACAACGTTGGGAGAAATATATTTAGTTATCCTATACAATCACGTGGTGCAGCTAATCCATGTGTTATAATATGAGTTGATAAGAAAGTTAATATTTCATGAACACATGATACATTATTATTATGAGTTTTTCTATTTAAACTCCACATTTTTCTTTGTTTGCCTCAATACTTAAATCATTAAGCTCTTAAGTTGAATTATTGTATAAAAAGACAAAAAAAGTCATCCAACTTAATATTTAACCCTAGTATACACACACACCACCACTCTTCATATTAAGTTTTAGGAAAACACAAACTCCTATACACCCTACTGCCAGATTACTTTTCTCTTTCAATCCAAAAAACCTACTACACTCTCATCTTCTCTTCACAAACCCCAAGTACGGTATGCAAATAGTGGCTTATGGGTTGTCAATTGATCGAGTTATGTAATGTGAGATTATTTCTTGGGTTGTCAATTAAGCTCTTAAGTTTTATTTCTGTTTGTTATCAATGCATTGTTTCTCTTCAAAAATTAAAATAAAAATAAAAATTGAACATATTGCATATAACATCATTGAGTAATATTATATTGTTTGATCATAATATGTTTTTATGAAGTCCAAAATATATATATATATTTATATATATAGTCCCCTTCTATTGAGGGACACCTTTTAGGGTTCCCTGCAAATTTTTTTTCAACGATCCAAACCATAAATTTTTAAAGTCTACATTCATAGATCATCCTTGCAAAAAATTAGACAAATCGGAAACCGTTTCGACATCAAATTGTGTCCTACAAAATTAATGAACACGGTGCTTCAAGAAAGTACTAAAATTTCAATATTTCAATTGAGTGGTCAAATGATATCGAATTCGAGTGAGTTTTTATAAAGATGATCTTTAAATGAATATTAAAAAATAGAAGGTTTGGATTAGTGACAAATAATGCAGAGTGGGCACTACAGGGGTGTCCCTCAAATATGCTTATTTGAGGGATCCTTCAGCCGAAGCTCACTCTGTGTGTGTGTGTGTGTGTGTGTGTGTATATCTATATCTATATCTATATATTGAATAGTTGACAACAGTGTTTTTATCTCTTTAAGAAGTGTGGGGTGTGGGGTTGATGAGTTTTTTATTTTTATTTTGTCTGCTGGATGTGTATTTAGTTTGGGAAGATAGTGGGGTTTTCTTAGAAATTGTAAAAATTTGAATTACAAGTTAGAGTGAACTTTTAATATGGAGTGAACAAAGAGAAGTGCAGGGTTTAAATAGAAAAACTTTATTATTATTGATAAATAGATTAGATATACATGTTATAACATGAGTGAAATAACACCGTTAAAAGGCAATAACAAAATACCTCTAGTGGTAGACCAATCTATTTCTGCTTCTGTGGCTTGGCCTGGCTAGTCTCCTTATGTTGAATCCGATACTGGTCACGATCAATTCAAGCTCATCGGAAAAAACCCGCCACAAAGGTCTTGGTGCCCTCAGCCGTATGAGTCACCTAACATGCAAATGAATGCAATATGAATACAAAGATAAATCACCAAGATAATCTTACTCTTGATGATTTATCCTTCTGGAAAATAAAGCACAACAACTTTCTTTCATGTATATGAAAACTTAACAAATACTCTAGTCGTTGAAAGTTGTTGAACGAATGAAAACCAAGCCTTACTTTTTATAATGGTTTTCAAAATTGGAAACAAGATCAATTAGTTCCTAATCAACACATTAACTTTCCAAACTAGAAAGTAATTTATAAAATAAATTAAACTTTCTTAAAATAAAAATTCTTCTGAATTAAAATGTTAATCAGATTGTGAGTTTGAAATAACGCTTGAAATATCACAATCAGGATGCATGGTTGAATGAAGAATTTACCTTAGTGATCGTTGGTTGACATATAAGCCTTCAAAGCATATCTTGGAATTTTGACAGCCGCCATCACAACTAATTTACCATCTCTACTTAGTCTAATTTGTCTCTAGGAAATGCCAATCACAAAATCAATACTAACAAAGACACAAAAGGTAATTTCGTAATTTCACTGTGCTCTAAGACAAAAAAGGGGGTCAAGAACAGTAAAACAGGGGCAATTAATTCCTTTCACTATGCTTAGAGCACTTCCACCTATTTGCCATGGCAAAGGGCAAGGGGAGGTAAGGGCTGTTACTATTCATGTGAATAGTGATAGCCCTTGCAAAAGGTAAGGTGTGTTTCCACTCATTGCCATGACAAAGGGCAAATACTATTCATTTTTTTTTTTTTAATAAACCTAAACAATTAATTTGGAGAAGATTTTTGGTTCCCACGTGTCAATATTTATTATAAAATTCATATATCATAATTCGAATGAATTTTTTTGGATAAAATTTTCGAATATGATTCTCGGTTGCCATGTGTCAACATTTATTATAAAATACAAATCTCAAATTTCAAATAAGATTTTAGGATAAGATTCTCGGGTGCCATGTGTCAATATTTATTATAAAATACAAATCTTAGATTTTAGATAAGATTTTCACCCTATAAAATTGCGCGACGTGTCATCGCTACCAGAGGCTCAACTCATACCTCTCACACCAGATCTTCTCTATCCTTTCATTTCTTAGATTTTAGATTTCATACTCCACTCTCAATATCAGACATGAGGAGATGCTTGGAGAGGCAAGTGCGAGACATTAAAGAAAGTAGGCGTAGACGAGCTGAAGAAAAAAGGGTGTAGCAAGAAATGATGAACAAGTTGTCATGACAATGGGTATGCTCGAATATCAAGTCAAGGCCGCAAACATGGTTCACAAGTCCATCGTGGCTCGAACGTGGACAGACATAGGCATTCTGGGGGCAAGAATCTTTTGGAAGACTACTTTATCCAAAATTATGTGCACTATAATGTTGATTTTCGAGGGCGATATAGAATGCAACCCCATTTGTTCAATAAAGTTATGCATGATGTTTGCAATTACGATGCATACTTCGTTCAGAAGTGTGATGTTGATGGGGTTTTGGGGCTTCTTCCGAAGCAAAAGCTTACAACTATTAAATGAATGCTGGCGTGTGGTGCATTTGCTGATCAAGTGGATGAGATTACTAGGATGGGGAAGTCTACTATTCTAGAATGCTTGGTCAGATTCTGTGATACAATCGAAACTCTCTACACTAGGGACTACCTTCGCAAACGTACGCATAGGGACCTCCAAAGGCTTCTACAAAAAATCTCAAGGTTTTCCAAGCATCATAGGAAGCATCGACTGTATGCACTTGTAATGGAAGAATTGCCGAACTGCCTGACAATGGGAATAGGAAAGGGCAAAAAAGTATCATTCTCGAAGTCGTTGCTAGATTCGATAAATGGGTTTGGAATGCCTTTTTCGGAGTTGCCGGATCTTAAAACAACTTGAACGTGCTGGGTCAATCCCTGGTATTCAATGATGTCTTGAGAGGTGAAGCCCCGAATATCACCTATGAAATCAACAATACCGTATACTAGAATGGGTATTATTTAGTAGACGGCATCTACCCGAAGTGGACCACATTTTTCAAATCAATTCCGCATCCCCCATCGGAGAAGGAAAAATTATTTTCTGGCCATCAAGAGGGTTACAGGAAAGATGTCAAAAGGTGTTTTGGTATCTTCCAAACTCGGTGGGCAATTATTAGGGGTGCTGCGCATATGTTTGATGAGGAGGTGCTGTGGAGCATTATGATGACGTGCATCATCCTCCATAACATGATTGTAGAGGATGAGTATGATTATGATGCTCCAGACGTGTTCGAACCTGATTCCATGAACACAGCTGTGACAAGAATTTATGAAAAGCCTATGGGAGCAAATGGACATCCATTGGAGCATGAACCGTTGGTTAGGGACGGTAGTTTCATGAACTGTATGATGGATCGATATACAGAGATGCAATTGTCTTATATTCATGAACGAAGTCAAGTTGACTTGATAGAGCACTTATGGGCAGTGAGAGGCAATGATGGTGAATGAAGTGAAGTGCTTTGTTTTTAATTTTGCTTTGTATTGATGTATGCTTTGTTTGTGTTTTGTTTTGAATTATGCTTTGGACTTTATTTTTTTAAACTATGCTTTGGTTGTGGTTTTTTTTTTAATTATGTTTTGTTTGATGTATGCAATGTGTTGAATAAAAAGGTATTTTATTGAATGATTTCCTTATTCACCCAAAAAAAAAAAAATGCAAGACAACTAATTAAGAAAAACTACTAATTAAATAAAAGACAAGAATTACAACTACTTTAATACAAAACAAGCAATACAATTAAATAAAAGGCAAGCAAACTAACTTAATAGTTTTGATCATTTAACCAATCAGTGTAGCTAGGTCCATCGTCACGGAAAAG